TTCAATGTGGTCTACTTAAAGAGATGCCTTTATTTCAATAGAAGTCTTCTGAGTAACGATGATGATCAATACTAACATAGTCTCAGCAATGGGAAAGATGAAGTCCATATCTTGTCGACGAGCTGCGTGAACGGTTACTGGTTCCAAAGCTACGTCTACTGTATGATCCATTAGAGCCCCAAGTAGACCAGTCCAAGTGCCTTCATACGTTCGGAACCCAAGTTTACTGTAGTGCCGGATTGAAGACCTGATACCAAAAAAAAAATGTAATTAAGTAACCGGTAGATACTTCTACCTGTAATAAGGACAAGAGGAAATTAAATAATCAAATAATCTTAGTTAAGAGAGAAAATCTTGTTAATTGATTAATTACCAACGTGATTTAGAACAGGAAGACTGATTTTTTGCTCAGGAAAAATAATTATTGAGATTTTCAATGTTTTCGCCGAAATTCTCAGTTACCTTTTTTTTTGAGGCGGAAATTCATCAAAATTATACTCAGTGTTTGGTTTAATAGACTCGTTTTCAATCAACATAACATAACATCACGCCTTTTATCCCCGAAGGGTTAGGCAGTGGTGCATATTACGTAAAGAGTATAATAAGTATAGGGGTAATTATTAGATCATTATGGTGGACACCCACTATTTACTTTAGTTAAATTATAATAGGTTTTTTTTTATGACATAAGCCGGTAAACGAGCAGACAAATCACCTGATGGTAAGCAATCGGCGTCGCCCACGGACACCTGGAACACCAGAGGCGTTATAAGTTCGTTACCGGCTTTTTGGGGATTAGGAGTTTGAGGGTCTTTGGGGATTCAGGGATTGGGGAGATTGGGGAAGGGGAGGGTAATTGGACCTCCGGTTACCTCACTCACACGACGAAACACAACGCAAGCGTTGCTTCACGTCGGTTTTCTGTGAGACCGGGGTATCACTCCGGTCGAGCCGGCCCATTCGTGCCGAAGCATGGCTCTCCCACGCTTTTATTAAAATTTCCCACAGGTTTATTAAAAAATGGTTTATAGGTAGTATTACTATGTTGTTAATGAATAACGTTAGGATTGCTGTTAAAGTGGCGATTAAAGTTTTCCACATACATATAAATCATTACTTGTTTGTTAACATTGAGTAGCTACTCAAACTAATCGTTATCTTTATGAACTTTATACTACGTTCATATTGTATAATAGCCATAAAACATAAAAATCTATCATAATAAAAATGTATTAGAGAGGCAAATATATTAATATATATATGTATATATAGACACACTTCATATTACACTGTCTTAGCAATAAAAAGTTGTTTATAATTCTTACATTGTCGTATAAAATATAACAAGACATGTTTAAACCAAGGTACGCCATAACGTAGATATACGCGAGACACAATATGTTTTCTATTCTGTCTCATATAGAGGTTAATCTCAAAATAAAACTTCAACTTTTCTATGTCTATGCCATAACAAAACACTTGATTATTTTATTCTAGATCGGGGGTAGAGTTGTCCATTATGATTGTTTTATTATTTTTTCCAAAATGACAGCCCCGCATTTTAATTATAAACCCCGCCCGGGTCTACTTATGAAATTAATACCTACTTAAATATACGTAATTATTTTAAAAAACTACGTATAAAATTCGACTTCAATCCCCTCTGTTTTTGAAGTCGGTTAACTAATATACTAAAAACCTTCTGCTAAGTGTAACAAACACTTTTCTGAAAACGATATACCAAGTTTGTACACTATTATATCGCGATTGGATGAACTAATTACCATGCAATTTTCAGAAAAGTTTTTGTTACACTTAGGAGAAGGTGGATATTTAATCTAAGTTTTAGTATATTAATTAACCGAGTAAGAGAGAAAAAGAGACCCCCTCTTTCTCTCTTGTAGTTGATTTTTTTTAAAAATAGTTTATAAAAGAATTATTTGAAGTCGGTTACAAAAATTTTAATTGGTCCATCACTAAATCTTGGCAACGACAATCCGAAACCTCCCGCGCGACTAGTTTAACCTTAAGGTTAAACTAGTCGCGGGCTCGAACTCAATCAAGGGCGTGGCCAAAAAGCGCGCTGTCTCATCTAACATCGTGTGTGACAGAAATAGTACCAGTGATGAGCAGTTAGACGCTATCTATTTGCACGACGTATTGTTCGCACGCACACAAACACAGCAAAACGTCACTGAACGGTGCATATATCTGTGCTGTGTGTGTTTACTCGTAGTAAAGTCGTACACGCTGCTACGATTTTATGATGCTCGCATGAATTTAATAATTATTGTCACAGGGCATTGTAATTACTGACAATTTTTTTATGATATCAACTTATCATCCGATCCGAAGAATCCACGAAAGGCTAGGGATATAATTTTATATAATATTTTTTTTTCTAAGTACCAATAACTTTATGTACCTACTACAAACTAGCTAGATGCATCTTTTATCTAAATAATACAGTTCAAATGTCATATTTTCATCAGGTTATAATGTTTAACTAATATTATAGTTTGTTTGGTTGAACATAATAATCTCAGGAACTACCTACCTATTTAGGTAGGTACTTACTGGTCTGAATTATTTCCTGAATTTCGAGACAATTGATCTGTCATTATGTTTTCATAAAATTAAATATATACTTACCTAGTTAGGTACGTCGGTGACTACCTAAGATTACTAGAAGTAGTGATAATACCACATAATTAGATTTTCGTCATTTCGTCCGTAACAAAACTTGTGGACTTCATACCTACATCGTGTAGGTAGGTCCCTAACTCCAACTTCGTGTTAGGTACCTACAGACTTTTTGGCAGCTCGGAACGTAACATAAAGCTGCGCACTAGGTACCTCCCTGACACAAACATAAGTAGAGATACCGGCTCGAATCTTGAGCGCTCGGCATCAAAGTGGGTAGGTATACATTGGCGAGCTAATCACTGTAAAAGGATTTTTGGGAGAAGAATTGTAGGTAGCAACAATCCTTCTCACAATACCTACTACTAAAGAGACTTGATTTCTGCGCAATCTGAGTCAACGCTCAATATTCATGCCGGTATAGTATCTGTATTAGCAGCACAGGAGAGCGCCGCAAGGCTGGGTATAATTGCTAAGGGTTCACCCTTTTAGTTACTTGCTTATTTATTATGCTTTTATTTATAGACAAAAAAAAACAATGAACCTGAAAAATCTTTATTGGTAATCGTAATATTTATCTATATCTATCTATCTATACATATAATAAATCTGTAGAAAAGTAATTTTTGTACATTGAAGAAATTGACAAAAAAAATAGCCAGTGTGTTAAAAGATAACCAACAGAACCCATTTCCATCATTTTTGAAATTTTTGTCTGTTTGTCTGTTTGTTTGTGCGCGCATCACGTAAAATCTACGAATTCAATGCAGACATTGTTAATATATAAAAATTCTACGCAACTCGAGGTGTAACTTAGTTTTTGTTTCATCGAAATCGGTTCACTCTATCAGAAGATATGATTAATTTTGTGAGTTCAAGTAAAATGTTACAACACGCAATTCAGTATAGTACTCGAAATTATATCTTTGGAAATTTTTTTTCGTTTGGTCATTGGTTTAAAGTCCGAAGTAAAGATACTAATTGATATTATTTAAATGTGTCAGGAAATGTGATATTGTATTGGAATAAACTGTAAGATGTCATATTGTAAGGTGTTGTAATAATAAATAATAAAATAATAAATAAATAATAATTATAAACAAGTAGAATTTTTTTTTTATGTTGGAAAATCATCGATTGATTGCTCCTGCCTAGGTGAGGCGGGAGGGAGTGTCAGACTCTTACTGACTAAAAACCACCCCGTTCCTTCTCCTGCACGTCGAGCCGGAGCCCCGGTTACCCGTTAGTTCTCCCGCGACCCGAATCGGCATCGGCCCTATTGGGCCCCATCTGTGGTGGTCTGATGGCTCTTTGAGGCGCGCGCGGAACGCGACGCGCCGGACGCTCGGGTTTGTTTCTGGTCGGACGGGGAGCCACCCATGTTCGCCATCCGCAGGCCCGCGCTTACAGTGGCCGGATATCGTCCCGCGATCCCCGACGCCCAGTGTGTCCTTCACGATGGCTGGGTTGCTGCTGGGATCCGCACCGATAACTGTATCTAATAAAATCTAATTAGATAAGGTATAATAAATTGTAGGGACGACTTACCCATTGTTTATTATGTATTTTCCAATGACACTTGGAAATTCCAAGTGTCATGCAATCAACCAAAACAACTTCACTAAATCACGACAATTGCACGACAGCGCGTGTCGTGCAAATAATAATTGTGCAAAAAATTGTGCAAAAACGCGTGTGCGTCTTCCCTCCGCCCCGCGCCACTGCCCGGGGGAGTTTTTATCCAGTGAATGCACGATAATCCATCACAAAACGAGTGCGTAAAAAAGTACGATTTAGTGCTTTAGAAAATAGCGTTTTTTGAAAAAACCACTGCTTAGATCAATTTCAAATAAATTTTATAGAACTCTATGGTAATTGTGCTGAGTCGGTACGGTCTTCGGTTTGGAGATTTTACACGATTAGTGGTATTTTTTAACACCCAAAGTTGCGTTAAAATTGTAAAGAAAAACAAAACTTTGTTGGCTCATAACTTTTTAGTAGTTTTTTTTTATTTTTTTTTGTTCCGTACCGACAAATGTAATTACAAGATAAAACGATATCGTGTTTAATTTTGTAGGTACACATTCACACTGTCGAGTAATACCACCCCGAACTTTCTATGGAAAAAATATCGACTAGTGTAACCTTAAATAAACGTTACTATTTAAACTGTCAAACACCAAGCGGTCACCGGTGACCGCAACCTATTGTTCTTTAATTGTGTCTATAAATACGGTACTCGACGAGTTAAAATCAAACTTACGTAGTGTTTAATCGCACTGTAAGAAAATGTAGGATGTCATCCAACATCTCTTCAGCAGATGGGCCATCGTCCTCCAATGATGGGTTTCCATCACCTGAGGAGTTGCATCTTCCTACTACCAGCTCCTCTCCCAAGAAATTCCGGGCTTCAACTGGGTACGGAACTTCGATTCCTGACATGGACTTAACGCGATCCCAATTACCTGAATAATTTAAATATTTTATTTTAGTATGGTTTAGTATCTATTTAACTTTGGAACTGTGTAATAAATATCGAAGATATTTTCAAAGGGTACAAAAAATATAAAAATTAATATAAAGAGTGTGCTATACTAAAGATAACTTCTATAAGCAGGCCTTACCTAAATAACAAGCATAGAGCGTGGAATTGCTGCGTACTTTAAAGTATTGTACAACACTAATCATTCTCTCAGTTGGCTCCAGCCTGTGCACGAGGCTCCACTTTCGAGATTGTTCAATCAAAGAGAATCTACTTATATTTGACATGGCAAATATTCTCGAATAATTGTAACTGGTAACTCCTGACTGAAACAGAGGTAAAATACTCCCGTTCTTTTTATACGTATTATTCCTTGTTAGATTAATAAATCTTTCTGAAGTACGATAATAATTCCTTTCATATTCAGTTTTCAAATTCTGTTTGCCATAAACATATTCATTACGATGATATTCTCGATGCAGTCGACGTTGGGAATTACTTCTCGTTTTGTAAATGAAATTTGCATCGCACAGACCCAAGTTATTTAATTTCGAAGTGTATTTAGTTTGTGTGAAAGAAATGATAATATTTTGATCAAAGCGGAGCGATGTTGCATTTAGTATTTCATTAATGAAACTGAAATCTCGATTCGACCGCGCGGTTATAAGCCAGTCGTAAGATGACGTATCCATTTGTAGCTGAAGTAGCTGAAATAATATGACAATTTTAATGTTTGTTTAATGTTAGTGTAATTAATATTGTTAGTTCATTTTAAAAAGTATCTATCATTCATTACTATGCACCTTATTAACGAGTTTCGTCAAATTCTCAGTGGCATTTCGTTTCAAACGTGGAGATAAGATGATGATCCCGATATTGGCTCGCAAGTGGAAACTGTGCAACAGCTGAGATGTAGACGCCACTCCATTTATACTTAAACACTTCATCAGTCGCACTATAGCCCATAGACAACCTGGTGTAAAGAGAAATAAGTATTTATTTCTATAAATATATCATCATTTTAAGTGGGGGAGAGCCATGCTTCGGCATGAATTCGGCTCGACCAGAGTGATACCATAGCCTCACAGAAAACCGACGGGGAAACAACGCTTGCGTTGTGTTTCGTCGTGTGAGTGAGGATATCGGCGGCCCAATTACCCCCCACCCCCCCTCCCTAGTCTCCCGAATCCCAAAATCTTCCACAATCCTCAAATTCCGAATTTTCAAAAGGCCGGTAACGCACTTGTCTATAAAAAAAAAAATCAGTCGGAAGAAGGCTACTGTTGAATATTAAAATTTCCTTTTTTTAAAGGTTTCCCTTAATCCAAGCAAGGCAAAAGTTAAAAATTTTAATCTAGATTTTTTGAAAATGTTGAGAAGCGCTAAAACAATTTCTAGACATATCCCTATTTCTAGGAAACCTACTAGGAAAGTTATATGTAATAGTAACAAACTTTTCTGTACCATTAGTTAGAAAACCACTTATGAAAGCGGTTTATGTGTTAAACGAATGATCATAAAACACGATTTTTAGTGCGACTTTGCGACCAAAAAACGCTGGTTCACTGCGTGTAGAAAAAAGTGTTCCCAGAATTCATATAAAGGTTCGAGTGGTTTACTTTTTAAGGGAAAATGCGACGAGTCTTTGTAAACATGGTGTCATTGAATAAAAAATGCTATATATCATGACTCCTACTTTTATTGAAAGGGTGAGTGGAAATGAAATCCTTTTTGTGGCTTATATTTCAAAGATATTATGCTGTTGTTCATACACTACATTAGCCATGATGGTCTGGAAATAATTCAATATATGCACGACGATAAGGTAATATAAGAACAACATTCTGAAATAATTCGTATTGTAACGATACGTAGATACGTTCTGGATTTTTGGAAAGGTTACATATTCCTAAGCTATGGGTTATGGCCAAGTAGAACTGAAAGTGGAAGTGGTAACACAATTTGGATATAATATAAATCTAAAGAAACCCTGGATGATTCAATCTCTCGTTTGAAGTTTTATTTGAATGTATATATATATATTATAAATTTATTTAATTCAGGTACCTTATACAGGCACTTTCCTTGCCAAGGTTACCTGAATTTCTAAATCAGCAAAGGCTTTAAAAAGGCATAGTGCTCTCTCTAATTCTTCACATTTATTTGGTTAAATCTTGTTTTAGTTTTTAAACAATGTCTAACGTTAAGTAATAATCAATATTAATAATAAGAATTTCCGTTAGTTAATCTTGCTAAAACTCGACAACGGCTGAACCGATTTGCCTAATTTTGGTCTTGAAATATTCGTGGAAGTCAAGGGAAGGTTTAAAAGGTGAAAAATCAGTCGGGTACCAAAAGGCAATTTCTGAGATGGTACGAACTTTGCCGGGTTATATAGGAATAATTAATATTTGTAAATTAAGTATGAATATGGTAACAATTGAGTAGTATAATTTATTTTGCTATCTTTCTATTTTAATAATTAAAATTGAATATTAAAAAAATATCAGGGATTTTGTTACGTTCGTCGTCTGATGTTCGTTTTCATTTATTTGAATAAATATCTTTTTATGAAGAGGAAACATCCAATCACTTCTCCCGCCCGAGTGAAGCGAGAGTGAGTGTCAGCCTCTTACTGACTAAAAATCACCCCGTTGCTACTCCTGCACTTCGAACCGGAGCTCCGGCAACCTATCAAGTCCGCCGCGGCTCCGTATCGGCATTAGTCCTATTGAGCCCCATTTGTGATAATCTGATGGCTCTCTGAGGCAAGCGCCGAACGCGACGCGCCGGACGCCTGGGTCTGGTTCTGATAGGGCGGCGAACTACGTTTGCTCGCCGTCCGCAGGCCCGTGCTTCCGATGGTCGGAGATCGTCTAGCGAGCAAATAAATAGCTAGCTTCGTAGAATTCATATACGTCCACCAGTCCATAGCAATTGACAGTGGAAGTCCAATAACATAAAATACATGTATATATACGAAGACATTTTCAATTTTAATCTTCTTCTTATTCTTTAACACTTTATGTAAAATTATACAATGGCGGGCTTAAGGCCTGAGGGCATTCTCTTTCCCTTTTTATAAATCTCGTAAAGAATTTCATATTACCAACACTTTCAGAGATTATTTTAGATTAGTGGCAGTACCTACGTACGTACGTACGTAGTGTCGGTACTTTTAATACTGAATACCTAAACATACATTTTAGAAACAAAATCCTTACATTCGTTTGACTACCTATAGAACTATCATTATATGTTTAATTTTTTTCTCAATTGTATTCAATAGATAATATTAGGTATTGACCGAGCCTAACCCTTCAGATTTAATATATTTACTAAGTATAATTCATAACAGCGATGTTGCTATTTAAATGATGTCGAATACATCACAGACATAGCAAAAACATTGTCCTTAGTGAAAGTACGTGACAAGGGTCATGCGAAGCAGATTTTGAACAGTGTGTCAGACACGTAGGGTATACAAACGTGAGGCGTGCGCGCAGAGTGTCGTGCGGACGAATCTTGCGCATTGCACAGATGACACTTACAGTTGTGTGCATCAATACGTGAATATTTGTGCTTACAGGATTTTTATAATTCATGTCGTGAGTTCCAGTGTCAATTTTAATATCGGAATATTTTTGTCAATGTGAGTATTTTTATTTATTTTTGGATTTTTTTTTATAATTATTGCAACTGAATTATGCTTATAAACATAATTAGAGGAAGCTGAAACAGGGAAAAACTAACATCGTGAATTCTTGACTTAACAAGTTAATGTAATACCCTACGTATAATTAAACATATATTCAGATAAACTATTGACAGTATTTTTCTTTTTAAGGGTAAAGGATAATTTCTACACCAGGTGCAAAAAATAATCTTCAAGCCTTGATTTCTAAATTGTTCATATTGCCATTCGACAGTGGGGGCAATCTCTTAACCACCTAATCCACACTAAGAAAACTATTAAAGCACGATACTTTGTCGATAACAGTCGGGGTTCGTTTTACCTCAAGGGATTTTTTGTACCACTTTCCACTAGTTTAATTAGGTAAATCGGATTAAAAAATCTATTAATCTAGTTACTAGAAAAATAGATCTCTTAAATTCGATAAAAACTGCCTAATTGTAATTTAAAAATGAATTGTAATTTGTTATTTTGATTTCTTTATGTAATTAATTGAATTTAATCCTTAACTCGACATAATGCCTTATTTAAGTATTTATTACGAATGATATACGACCAGGAATATAATTTTCAACATTGGCTAAATGAAATGGGATAGATATTAATTTGATCTTACTTTAAAACAAGTAGGTATATAGAATTTGCAAAATTTGCTAGTCTGACACAACAACATTTAAAAAGTCAAACAATTCTAAGAAATTTACATTGATCACATTTCAAAGAAACTTATTTAGCAGATAGTCAGATACTATTAATTAATGTTTAAGGTTCAACACAATTATAATTTTGCAAGTATTTCAAAATATCAAAATTGACTTAGCCTATTCCTTATCAAGATGCGTAAGAATGTCCTTCAACTATCAAACCACAATGTACCTTCTTACTTATTGCATAAATTTATTGAGTGTGAATCGAAGTTGGTTAAAAATGTAAACATTATAAAAACCGCTACTTGATATTTCTGTTGAGTAATCGATTTGTGTGTATTTGCGTGTTGGTACGAGGTATTGTTTTATTTATCAAATGTGCTAATTGAAATTAAAGGTTGTTGTTCTAAAGTGCGAATTGATGGGTACAGTTTTGTCAATATAGAAATACATTTTTATTGTAAATCAAGTATTCAAATTGGCGAAAGAATGGATGTAGAAAATGGAGGAAATTAAATAAGAAGAACATTATTTATTTCCGCTTTGTTCGACCCGGGAGTCGAACCCGAGTCCGACTCCCGGGTCGGACAAAGTAATACTGTTTTTTTTTTAATTCTCAGTAGTAACATGGAGTCTGCATGGAGGTGTGCCCGGTATATGGTAATAAGGATAGTACTCTTATCATAAGTAGTCAAAAGTGTGTGTTACATTGTACAGTGGCACGAGGTGCCGTACAATGTGCACCCCTTCGGGGATAAAAGGCGTGATGTTATGTTGACTTTATTCATATATTTTTTCTTTAAATAGGTGTAGTAAAACTGCCATAGTAATGGAAGAATTGAGTTTTTAAACAAACTTGTTAAAATTGCACACTGAAAGTTATGTGGCGCACTTTTAATCCTGCAATAAACATTTTAACTCGTCGAGTACCGTATTTATAGACACAATTAACTCGTCGAGTACCGGTTTTATAGACACAATTAAAGAACAATAGGTCGCGGTCACCGGTGACCGCTTGGTGTTTGACAGATTAAAGAACAATAGGTCGCGGTCACCGGTGACCGCTTGGTGTTTGACAGTTTAATTTGAGTTATATTAACCACAGTAGTCAGTAGGACGGCATCATGAGAATTATGCCTGGTCAAATAAGCTCGTTCCTATACTTAATTAATATATTAAGTATAGGAACGAGCTTACAAAGCCCAATAAGGAAAATAAGTTAATGAGAAATTATCCGAAGTTACCATAGGCTTATCTACAACATTATAGAAGAATGACAATGATTAATGCAATTTATCAGTATGAACAACTACTGTATCAACTTTAGTGCGTCCGTGCCGTATCTTCTTGACGTAAGAAAAACAACATTCCATCGTTATTTGTAACTCTGATCACAATTACAATGATTAAGAGGTCGTCTTTACTTATTAAAATCACAGTTATCGTTACAACATCATAGCCTATAAGTGGCCACTACTGACCAAAGGCCTCTTCTCAAACGGAGAAGGTTTGAGCATTAATCACCACGCTTGCTCATTGCGGGTTGGCAATTTCAAACTTGTAATTCGAAATTATAAGGTTAAGTTTCCTCGCGATGCTTTCCTTCACCGTTAGTTGTATAATGGTGTCTAAATAACCTTAGAATAAATATATAACTCAGAAAACGTCACATAGGTACTTGCTGTTGGTAGGTTTCAAGCCCGCAC